CCCTCAGACGTTGGTGTGTTGGTGGTCCTTGTCATCTGGGGCTGGGCGCTCATGTATGTTTTTTGGTTTTTTTTGCCTGTCCCATTTGGCTCTTTTGCATCAGAATTATTGTCTAAAGGCAAAGAAAGATGCCCAACGGATTTACTTTACCAAATTGTCAATGCCGCATGGACGAAGTGGCGTCAAGTGACGGGTGGGCTAAGCGACCGTGGAATGCCAGACCATCTCAAGATTTACGAGACTGTAGTCCGCCCAGTTGCCCATTTAAAAAGTAACAAATATTAATTATTTAAAAAATTGCTCAACACCAAATACTTTGATAGTTTCCAGCATATATTTTCTTTGTTTAGCTAACTTAAAAACAAAAACATCTCCATGGGCGGCTGTGAGTGGCTTCAACAGTAAGGATGTTGCTGTTCAGGTCTCAGAGAATGGCTGCATTGATGGGGTCAGCTGTTTGTTCAGTCATTACCTAAGGATGATGCCAGACCCCACATGGGCACAGGAGCCACATGTACAAGCTGGACTTTATCAAGTTGATGAGGAGAAAAAGTGTCCACACACCACTCGTGCTCCTCAGCCTGCAGACGAGGCCCTGAGCTGAAGCCTGAAGCACCACTGGTACAAAGATGGGAGGACAGTGGATCAGACTGGTGGCAGGACAAAAATTACCACCGTCTGAGTTTTTCTCCGTTTTCTACCCGGCACGGAGAAAGGCCTTAAAAAAACACATCATCCCAGCCAAACAACTGAGAGACCCCTGACACCACCAGCACCACCAAGCAGACCTCAGACACCACCAGCCATGCCCCGCAGACCCCAGAATCCCTCAGCCCCATTCATCACCCTGCAGTATCTGATGTGCATAATTAGAATGTATTAAATTAAGTCAACATTTAGATATTGAAAACAATCCATATTAACAACAAAAAACAGTTCAGTCAGCTGTGAAACTCAAGGTGAATAGATACTGAAACTAAATTAAACATCAATAATATAATATAATATAATATAATATAATATAATATAATATAATATAATATAATATAATAATAAAACTACAATGAAGTAAAATAAAATAAAACGTCCACGTGGCGGCAGCAGCTAGGCCTCGGTTTCCCGCCGGAAATCGTCATCTTATCGCGCCGGAAGCGGAACCTCTTTCCTTTCTTGTTTCTGCTCAGTAAAGAGACGCACACAGGTGAGTCCGCTCCCGGTTTATATCCTCTGTAATCTCTGCTGCAGGTGACCATCCGCCGCTCTGCCTGGTCGGTGCTGACCCTGCGTCTCTTCCCGCGTCTGTTGGCGTCTGTATCGTTTCTCTGGCTGAAGGTTAATGGAGGATTTTTCATGTTTTGTGCTCTGTGGGAGTTTGTGTCCAGCCGCCATCTTAGCTCCACGCGAAGCCTCCTCAAAGGGAAACAAATACAACGTTAGAGCCAGGTGTGTGTCGCAAAGGTGTGCTAAAGAAGCGCGTGAAGTTTTAGGTGAAAGAGCAGGTAGAAAAACGCTCCGTGAGGTCCTGCCGGCTGCTCGGAGTCAACACAAGCTAACAGGCTAACATTAGCTTATGTTAGCCTCGGCGCTGCTACTGACGTTTTAAACTTTATTTAAAATGTCAGTGGTCGCAGCAAACACGCGCGTCCGAGTCTGCAGGCAGAGTCAGAACCTCCTCAACCTGGACCGGAATGAACCGGGTCAGTGACACCACGTGACCGCGCGCTGGGTCCGTTATCGGACAGAGGGCGCGTTCCAGTTGAAAACAAACGGAGCCGGGCTGTCCAGGGTCAAAGTTCAGACTGGACCGGGTCAGGGTTGGTTGTGGGTCTGATCAGGGATCAACAGTGTGATCAGAAGCTCTCAGTCTGAGGTTACTGTAGAGTTCATGTTCAGAGCTGATGTGATTGATTATTTATTGATCAGTCGAGATAATTGGCTGGTGTTTGATTTGTCTGTCATATTAGTTGAGTTTTCAGAGTTGGAGGATGCCGTCTGTGATTAGCCATTTCTGTGTGCGGTGGGTTTTATTTTGGAGGTGTCCCGACTTTAATGTTGACCTGAGAGTTTCAGGATGTTAAGGTAAAACTCATAAAGAGGTCAGAGGTCAGACCTGAACAGGAAGTGGGTTTGGGGTGTGATGGAGGCATGGGGAAACGCTGCTCAAAGGGAAGGTCTCACCGTGTTACGCTGCAGCGGCGGTCTAGTCTCGATGTCTGTATAAAGAATAGCTGGCTGTGATTGGTGATTCTCTGTGTGCGTGCTCGCTGTGACCTCATGCTCACATGTGTCTGACTCCTCTTCCTCCTCCTCAGCAGAAGATGGCTCCTCGTAAAGGGAAGGAGAAGAAGGAGGAGCAGGTGATCAGCCTGGGTCCTCAGGTGGCCGAGGGCGAGAATGTCTTCGGCGTCTGCCACATCTTCGCCTCCTTCAACGACACCTTCGTCCACGTCACTGACCTCTCTGGAAAGTATGTCCCCTCCGACCGTCTGCTCGCCAAAATAAAAGCCGCTCTCTAATTGGTGCTAATGGTGTTTGTGTGTGTTTGCAGGGAGACGATCTGCCGTGTGACCGGTGGGATGAAGGTGAAGGCGGACAGAGACGAGTCTTCTCCGTACGCTGCCATGTTGGCGGCTCAGGACGTCGCTCAGCGCTGCAAAGAGCTCGGCATCACGGCACTGCACATCAAGTTGAGGGCCACTGGAGGCAACAGGTAACCTGCACTCACCTGATTCTGTAGGCAGTGGGCTGACACTTTATTAGGTACACCTCAAGCACTGAACAGATCAATAAAATTTCAAATTACCAGGTTTAATCCAGTCAGGTGATCAGGGTTTAAATCCATGGTACTCAGCTGTACCTAATAAAGTGACAGGGGTGGAGTCAGTGAAGCAGAGTGAGTGTTTTTGTTTTTTTTTTGTTTTTTCATTAAATCTGCCATTTCTGTGCAGGAAGCCTCTTCATTTGATCCAAATCTGAACCAAACTCCATTCAAAAAACTGTTGATTTTACTGAAACAGTGCAGCTCAGGTGAAGTCCTCAGCAGGGTCTGTTCAAAGCTCTAAGAATAGATAAAAGTCGAGTATTTATTGTTACCTTAGTAAGTCTGACTGGTTTTACTGGAGATAGACCAGCAGCCTCTGACTGCATCGCTGCAGGTCCGGGGTCAGCCAGGACTTTCAAACCCAGGTGTGTGTGTGTTACCTGTCCAGGTGATGACCTGCTCTGTTTTCCTTTCAGGACAAAGACTCCTGGTCCTGGAGCCCAGTCTGCTCTCAGAGCTCTGGCTCGATCCGGCATGAAGATCGGGCGCATCGGTAAGTTTGTGTTTTTATTCATATTAAAGTTTTTGACTACAAAACGCGCTCAGTGAGCAGGTAGACGAGGCAGCACACGTGTCACTTCCTGTGATACAGTCACTTGAGTGCGGTCGGGTTTAAGGTCGTGTGTGTGTGTGTGTGTGTGTGTGTGTTAGTCTGTTGTTGTGTCATTTTCAACACCTTTATCGACCTGTCAGTGAACACCTGCGCTGCTCTCAGGTCAGCAGGTTTGTTTTCTCAGTGAGGGTCGGAAGCTTTAAATGACTCGGCGGATTTGAATTAACTTTATTCGTACATCTATCTGATTGACACAGTTTGAATCTGAGCTTTATTGACAGCCGGAACGGTGACGTGTCCTTTAACTCGGCTCTACATTCGTGTGACAGTGTTGACGAGCGTCTGATCATGTGATTGTTTCTTCCTCGTGTGTTTCAGAGGACGTCACGCCGATCCCGTCAGACTCGACCAGGAGGAAGGGCGGTCGCCGCGGTCGCCGTCTGTAAACTGTAAACAGCGACATTTTCACCACAATAAAAGATTAAAGTCGACTTCTGTCTCCGTGTCTCATCAATGACCTGATCACCGATCCATCGGTTTGAACTTCCTCACATGATTATGTGAATATTAATGAGCAGTGGGCGGAGCTTTGAGAAACCTTCATGTTTACAGTCAAACATTAAAATCTGATTAAAACAGTGCAAATGGGATCAGTCCACACTAGAGACTGTTGGTGCTGGAGGTACTTGAGTACTCGAGTACTGCAGTAGTTTAAAGTACTGTGGTATTTCCTGCTGTGCTGCAGGACATGAAGCTCTTTGATTATTGGATCAGGGATTGATTGATCTGATGGAGGTGGAGACAAAATGACAGGAACACTTGAAGCTTTTATAAAACGCATGTTCGGATGTTTCCAGGTGTTATTGTGTCCACCCTGTGGGTGTACCTGTGGCTCTGACGCACAGCATGATGGGAAACATTCAGACTCTTTCTTCTTATAGAGGATTTGAGTCTGCGGGCCTTCGTTCAGTTTTTTTCTGTCGCACTAAAATAATCTGCTCGAGTTAAAATGATGACATCATGCTGACAAAGCTTTTCTTTTCCTTTTTTACAAAACTGAAACAATCATTTCAACTTGATTCACTCTGACTGTGAGTGAAGCTTCAGACGCCACACTGAATCATATTTAATATTTATTTTATTTGGAAAACCCCAACACTGATCTGTGTGGTCGTTCTCAGGGCGGGGCTTCAGAGCAAGCTCAGACTGGTCACACAGGACTCTCGTCCTCCTCTGATTGGCTGGGCCTGCTGTCAGTCTTCAGTCTCTGACCATGCCTCCAAACTCCTGCAGACAGATTCGTCAATGAATGAATTTAAACCTCTGTTGCGGATTTTTCTGTGTAATGCTTTAGTCTGACCAGCTGAGGGCGACATTTACCATCAGCTGCTCCAACCTGAAGGGTCGATCCCTCAGGTCACCACACCTGTGTGTGTCTGAGGAGCATTTAATGTTTTACAGCTGTTTAAAGACATTTATGTTGATGGTGTCTGTCGTCTCTGAGACACTCTGCTCAGTTCCTGTCATGTGACTAATCCTGCACTGACCTGCAGAGGATTTTACTGCACAATTTACAGACCTTTACAAAAAATTTGAATATGATGAAAAAGTACATTTATGTCCATAATTCCATTCAGTGTTGGGGAGTAATGGAATACATGTACCACCGTTACGTATTTAAAATACAAAATATGAGTAACTGGATTACACAGCGGTCTTTTCCTGTTTCATAAGGCTGAAGGGTTAGGGTGTCCACGCCGGTGAAAAACACAACATGCATTCAGAGGCCTTCGTGTCTGTGTCTCAAACTCGTGGCCCATATCACCTCTGCTTGCGGCCCGCATAATGACGTGAAGAAATGTTTAAAAAGTTATTCACAAAAATGATTTAATATGAAAGCAACAGGCAGAGTGTTACAGGCGTCGCCCTAAAGCATGTAGCCTGATGGGCAGTGTAGTCCGTGCTGCAGGGAGGATGGACTGCTGTACCTGTGATGTGTCTGTGAGCGAGGAGGGAGGAAAAGAGCCGAAAAGTAAGAGATGTCACCGAGAAGAAACAGGAGCTGGAAGCATGTGTTCGTATTATTGTAGGGTCGACCTTACAATACGAAGCACCTTGATGCGACTGTTGTTGTGATTTGGTGCTGTATCAATAAGATTGAATTGAATGTAGAGCACCTGCCTCCTCATTGTGCTGCCTGTTTTGTGGTTGTTCTTGTGACCCTTGCTTGACCCCCCACACACAGATGTTTGAAAGCAGTATGGTGTGACAATATGGCCATTTTGCAACATTTGTACTTTGGGGTCGTTTTTGACCCCAAAGGAAGGAGTTGTTCAGTACTATGCTATGCACTATTGGGGTAAGTTTTAAGTAATTTTTTTTTTTTTTTTTTTTTACTTTCTAACAGCCGTTGCCCTCGGGGGTCAAAAATGACCCCAAAGTACAAATGTTGCAAAATGGCCATATTGTCACGCCATACTGCTTTCATTTTTTTGTTTTTATTGCCTGTCCCGTTTGGCTCTTTTGCATCAGAATTATTGTCTAAAGGCAAAGAAAGATGCCCAACGGATTTACTTTACCAAATTGACCATCCCAACCTTGCCGTAATGGTCCATTTGATTCAACTTTTATTGTTTATTTTATTTTCACTTACTGAATACGGGACAGACTTGACTGGAGGAAAGAAGGGGAGAAAGAAAGAGGGAAAGAAACAGCTGAGAAGAGGGACGGGGGAGAAGGGCAAAAGACAAAAACCAACAGAATGGGCAGAAAAAAAAATGCATATATCATCACCTGGATCACCTGCTGAGAAAGAAAAAAGAAAACAAGCAGAAGAGAACAAGAGTAATAGAATAAACAACATCACAATGATATATGGGAATATGACAGTAAATACTAAATATTAAACATTATTGTGCAGCACATAAGATCAACAGAACACAGTGTGCTTTGAGGTAGGAGCCAAAAAGGGTGTAGTTTGTGGGTGTGATCACCCGTGTGTACACCTGTGAGCATGGACGCGCTTGTTTTTAAAAGGTTCCTTCATGTAATGATCTGCTAGAGGGTGTGGGGGGGCCACAGCCCCGTCCTCCAGGGCATGAAGCAGGTATGGAGGAGATCAAAACTCCAGACATCCAGAGGCCCCCAGAACACAAGAGACCAAGGAAGACCAACAGAGGGGCAGCCGCGCCACTGTCCCAGAAAGAGCTGAGGAGAGTCCCAGATGAGGGCTCACTCAGCAGCCGCGGAGCAGAAGCCAGGGGGAGTTGCAGTGACGCGCCCGTGAGCTCCGCCGGCAGCCAGCCGCGCCTGAGTGACCGAGCCCCAGGCCGAGAGGCCGGGGGCACCCCACCTCCGAAGTGGCCCGAGCGAGCCCCAGGCTCCAGGCCCCGATAAGCGGCCGCCAAGGAGTGAGCCGGTGTGTACCTGGACGCCCATCCCCGGACACAAAGAACCACCAACGCACCGATGTCTGAGGGGTCCGCCACTGGCAGGGGAAGTGGTGGTAGGGGGAGATAGGCCTCCAAACCTTGGAGGGCCTGAGATGTCCCCAGAGAGGTGGCGCCTGACACCCAACCTGACATATAGACACAGACATACAGGCACACACAGACACAAACATCCATTCCCACCCTCATGCTCTCATATGCACTTACTCCACACTCAACCAACGTGGAGACAGACATAAAGAGACGCTGTACACACGATCACACTCCCCAAGCGTACTCTACGAACCGGGTCTAGGTACCCTTGCCCCTGGAGGGGGGAACTGCACCCAGACCCAGGTGGTGTTTACCCTTTTCCCTGCGGTGGGGGGAGGCAGACCGCCCCGACTCCGCAGCAGCAGGAAGGCCCACACTCCAGACCGCAGTCGGACGGCCAACTCCTCCTCCTAGCCCCCCGCTCCAGCAGGTCGCAGAGAACGGGGGTGAGAGAAGACTCCAAACCTCCCTCCACCCGCTCATTGTATGTTGATGCATGTGTGTTCTAAGGTGCATTTAAAACCCAGGAGGGCATGGAGCTACCTGCCAGAGAGCAGCAGGTAAGCGCATGGTCCCTCGGAGGCCGCCAGCTCGAAGCCGACCGGGAGGTCGAGGCACGATGTGCCGGGAAAGCGGTGTTCCTCCCGGCTGTAGTAGGTCTCGACCTCCCGTTAGCTTCGAGCTAGTGGGTGTCAGATCTCCAAAAACGTCGGAGCACTTTTGCAAATATGTGATGTCTTGTAAACCGAGCAGGTATCTGACGTTTACACAACTACATTCACGCCTCAAAATATCTTAAAAGTGTATTTTGTGACCCAGAAAGAGTAATATTACAACTAAGTAGCTGCCGCCATTGTTGGAATTCAACTTTCGCGAGAAAGTTTTGCGAGATCCCGAGTTTGTTTTGCGAGATCTCGCAAAAGTCCGTCTTAATTTTTTTTTTCTCCCTAATTTTTTTTTTCTCCCATGTCCCCTGCGGGGCTCCGTATTTATCAGACATAAGTTTGAAATGGAAAAAAGAAATAGTGTCAAAATGTCTGAATTAAGTTTTAATTAAAAGTGGGGGAAATCCACCTCATATAATTAAGTATCAATCAAACCAGATGGGGACATTTTGACCCCTGAGGACCACAGCTGTGTGTTTTTGTGTGTGTGTGTCTGTGTGTGTGTGTGTGTGTGTGTGTGTGTGTGTGTTGTGTGTGTGTGTGTGTCTGTGTGTGTCTGTGTGTGTGTTGTGTGTGTGTGTGTCGTGCTGTGTGTGTGTCTGTGTGGTCTGTGTGTGTGTGTGTGTGTGTGTCGTGTGTGTCTGTGTGTGTGTCTGTGTCTGTGTGTGTGTCTGTGTGTGTGTCTGTGTGTGTGTGTGTGTTGTGTGTGTGTTGTGTCTGTCTGTGTGTGTGTCGTGTCTGTGTGTGTTCTGTGTTGTGTGTGTGTCTGTGTCTGTGTTGTGTGTGTTCTGTGTGGTGCTGTGTGTTGTGTGTCTGTGTGTGTGTGTCAGTGCTGTGTTGTGTGTGTCGTGTGTGTGTGTCTGTGTTGTGTGTCTGTGTGTGTGTCTTATGTGTGTGTGTGTGTGTCTGTGTGTTGTGTGTCGTGTGTGTGTCTGTGTGTGTGTTGTGTCTGTGTGTGCTGTTCTGTGTGTGTGTGTGGTCTGTGTCTGTGTGTCTGTGTGTGTGGTGTGTGTGTGTGTGTGTGTGTGGTGTGTGTGTGTGTTGTGTGTGTGTGTGTCTGTGTGTGTGTGTCAGTGTCTGTGTGTGTGTTGTGTGTGTGTGTCGTGTGTGTGTGTGTGTGTGCTGTGTGTCTGTGTGTGTCTGTGTGTGTGTTGTGTCTGTGTGTGTGTGTGTGTAGTGTGTGTGTGTGTGTGTCTGTGTGTGTGTCTGTGTGTGTGTGTGTGTGTCTGTGTACTGTGTGTGTGTGTGTGTGCTGTGTGTGTGTCTGTGTGTCGTGTGTGTGTGTGCGTGTGTCTGTTGTGTGTGTCTGTGTGTGTGTGTGTGTGTGTGTCTGTGTTGTGTGTGTGGTTGTGTGTGTGTGTGTGTGTGTGTGTGTGTGTGTGTCTGTGTGTGTGTGTGTCTGTGTGTGTGTTTTGTGTGTGTGCTGTGTGTGTGTGTGTGTACTGACTGTGAGCTGCAGTCAGCAGAGCGTGATGAAGGTCAGTCTCGCTGAGTTCCCGATGAAGATCTCCAGGTGGTCCTCCTGCTGCACAGCTGTGATCCTCACCTGTAAACATGAAGTCATGTGACCTGTGAACCAATCAGCAGCCTGAAGGTGAAGCTCTGATCCAGGCTCAACAGCTGATCAGCATTCAGTCAGCTCTGATTAATCAATGAATCCATCATCAATGGAGCTCTGACGCTAGGAGTCACCATGGCAACGGGTAAACAAAGAGCAGCTCTGACATCCACAACAATCTGTTTAAGTCCCTCATCATCATCATTATTATTCTGATTAACTACTTCCTCTCACCTGAATGCAGACGACACTCACCTGTACCTCTTGTTTAAACCTGTGATTTGGATAAATGTTGTTTTGCATTTTTCTAAACTCCGGGTCTCTGTGGCTTTTAAACCCCAAAACACGCTGCGCCACAAACTGGTGCACCCCAAGGATCGGGTCCCCGACACAAACAGAGTAAGAGAGTGTACGCTGGTAAGATTGGCAGGATTTATACAGCGGGGAACCAAACAGCCTCTGGCTACAACACAGCAGAGCCGCCTCGTCAGGCCAGGACTCTGCAGTCTGGTCACGCCTACAGGCCAGTGGACACTCTGTCAGTGATGAGGATGTCCACATGTAAGGATTTGTGTCTGAAGTGATTCATATCAGCAAATCTGCCACGTTGCAAATATCATTGATGTTTATGATAAATAAGTGTGGCCCTAACACTGAGCCCTGTGGTACACCACACACAATAGATCATCTATGCTCTGTCTCTCCATCCTGTTACCACCCCTTAGCCCACATCCTTCCACTTATTATGTAAAAATATTTCATGGTTCTTCGTGTCATTGTTTCAGATCCAGAAATCCCAACCTGTGAATTTCTTTTCGTTCATGGGACTTTGTTCTGTGAGATGTGCTGGCACAGAGTGTTAGACCGGCTTGTTCTGAGTCGGTACCGATGGTCAGCCTGACGTTTATCAGTAAATCTGCTTGTACAGGTAAACATGTTTCTATGGAAACATTAATATTTTCATTTCGTCAGGACGTTCACTCGTGTAACCGTTTTCATGTGATCAGTCAGCTTCTTTCGTTCTCACAGATGAACGTTATCAATATTTTATTGCATCATCTCTTACAGTAAGATCATTGTTGTTATCTGTGGATGTCACAGTGCAGGGGTTTTCACCGTTAACAAAGAAAAAACGAACCTCAGTCTGAGTGTGCGTTGTCATCAAGTCTGTGACATCACTTCCTGTTTGTCCCGCCATGGTTGTGATGGTGGTTAAGATGTGAGAAAGATCCTCAGCTGTGACGACGCTCAGGTCATCAACAACAGTCAGGTCGATGTGATGTTTGTCATCGTTGAACCAGCCGGGTATCCTCACCCTGCAGCCGTATCGTCCAGCGTCTCCCTCTGTCAGGCTCTTTATGGTCAGAGAGACGTCTCCGTCCTCCAGTCGGCCCAGCAGCTCATACCTGCTGGAAGCTCTGGTTAACACTCTGAGTCCATCTGTGGAGATCAGCGGATTGGAGCAGCCTCTGGCTGGTATTTCTCCTCGCTGCCAGCACACGTTCATAGATCTGTGATATTTCCTGTCATATTTACAGGGCAGAGTGACGTCCTGACCTGGTTGACCTTTGACCCTGCTGCTGTCACATTCACAGACTGAAAACACAGAAACAGGAAGTTAAAGACAGTTTGATTTAAGAAGAGTTTCCAGCAGAAACATTCCTGATGTGAACGAGCAGAGTACCTGAGCGCAGGAGCAGGAGCAGCACCACGGCCTCCATCGCTGCATCAGTCCGATGGTTGGTGTTCAGTTCAAGCTGAATATCAAATAAACCAAGAAGACTTTCAAGCTGCTGCTGCTTCTTCTTCTGCTTCTTCTTCTTCTGCTTCTTCTTCTTCTCTGACTTTCTGATAATCTGTGTTATTTATATTTTTGTGGTTTTGCAAGGCCAGCTTGTGACTTCCTGTTAACGGCAGCTCGTTCTGTAACTTCTCATCTCACTAAACCACATCGGCATGTTAACCCCCCGTCTTGGGGGCGCTAGGTGAGTATTTTGGTTTCGAAAGCCCATCTCTCTGTTTGTGTGTCTCTCAGCTGCAGCAGTAGGTGAGTTGTTGTGCGCTGTTTCATATTTCACAGTCGGTGTAAAAGCTGAGCTCGGCCCTCCCACAGAGACGTTAGCAGCACCGATCCATGATCTAAAAGGTGTTTTGTCTCACTCCCATTTCTTCTTGTTGCATGTTGAAGCGCTACTTGGAACCTTTTTACGATCCAACCATGAAAAACAGGATTTTATGACATTTTTCAACTGGTCTTAAACTTTTGATGGGGACTGGACCAGCAGCTGCTGGGAGATGTTGACTGGCTACAGATGGATGGGGGTCTCTGTGGGGCCATTCAGAGACCCCGTCCTCACTCGCTACTAGGCTCGGGGTCAAAGTTCAGTCCGGTGTTCTGGGAATCGATCCTACCTCACAAACCATCCTACCCGTTGTTTCCATGCATGTGCACAACACAAAGCCCAAATTTACTTCATTTTTCTTTAACCTGTTGTGAATATCGGGGTGACCGTGGCTCAGGGGGTTGGGAAGCACATCTGTAACCAGAAGGTTGCTGGTTCGATCCCCGGGCTCTCTATCGTCACTCTGTCAGTCTGCCCCAGGGCAGCTGTGGCTACAACTGTAGCTGCCTCCACCAGTGAGTGAATGAATAGTGTAAAGCGCTTTGGCTGCCTTGAAAAGCGCTGTACAAATGCAATCCATTAATATTTGTTATGGTTAAGCATAGGTAGAGTTGGATGTCTCGAGACCACTTTTCTTGGTCTCGGTCTTGCTTTGTCACATCGACATAGTGTTCGGGCGATTTGGAGTCAACCATCGGCGGAGCGGGGAGGTGGATTACTGGGCTTAAGCCCAGGTCATTTTTTCAGAAGCCCGGGGTCTTTTGGAGTGTAGTGCAGCGATGCAGAGGAGAGCTGAAGTTTGACCAGGTACCAAAGCAAATCACTGGTACTGTACAAATAATGTAAATATGACGGTGCATCACAAAAGATATCAAACTGGTCACTTGACCCATGTTACGTTACTCGCTCTTCAAGTGAATCAACAAAAGGTGAAATGAAAAGCCGAACAACAACAGCTGTTTCTTTAGAGATTCTTAGCTTACATGTGTGTTTCATATTTTCAGTTCTTACCCTCCACGGCTGAACAAACTCTCTAAACCGGTTTCAGTTATGCACTGATGAACACAACAAAGGACATAAGGAGCTTCTTTCAAAGAAAAAACTCAGGTAGATGTTATTGTATATATTATGCTTTGGATGTTGTT